CTGTTCATCACTGGGCCATCTCTCCAGCCTCCAGAGTCAGCTTTCTGATGAGGTTGATGCACAGCAAGAGATAATAAATATATGCATCAGAATTATTAATTTTAATTGAATGGGAGTCATTCACAAATTAACATTCTAGAAATGTGTTTAATATCTTTTGTATAAATTTTATATAGAAAGAATTGCTTGTTTTCATTAGATGTGTCTATTAAATCTCATCTGGGCACTGAGCTAATTCGGAGTTTTGACTTTTTTGTTTTAGAGTTATTTGTTTCATTTTATGAGTGCAGCTATTCTGCCTGCATGCATGTATGTGGACCACATGTGTGCCTGCTGCTGCAGAAGTCAGAAGAGGGTTTCAGATTCCCTGGAACTGGTGTTATGGATGGATGTGAGTCATCGTGTGGGTGCTGGGAATCTGCCCCAGGGCCTCTGGAAGAGCACCACATACTCTTAACCACAGACCAATTTCTCCAGCCTGATTTTATGGTGGTTTCAGCTAAACATTTTAGACTTTAATGAAGTTATGTGATTTCCTTAAAAATGTTAAATGAAATAAAACATTAATGTAGATGAAGGAGTACATTACATATTTTTGTCTGTTTAAAAACTATTTCAGTTCTTAGAAAACATCAACTTTGAGTTTTCAATACTAGTAATCATTTGAGGTTAGAGACTCTATAGCTAAATGGGGCCACTTTGTTTTCCTTAAACTGGACTATGTGTCATCCCTTAGCTCTGACTTCCATTTTTTCTGTGCCACCATTGCCATCCACTTCTATATTTTTGCCTTCCAAGTTTCTCTGGTTGCAAAGCAATATCAGCCTCAGCTGTCTTTCTGTTTGGAACTGAACCATGGCCCAATTTGTGGAAAAGACTGAGGATGTCTTCAATGTTCTTATTCCCTATGTTTTCTCCTGCCCTAAACTTGGAAGTGAAGGTGTTCAGAAATCTTGCTTGCAAACTTGAAAAGAGTCTACCAAAGAACTTCAAACACTTTTAGAGGGAGGAACCACATGTGACTTTTGCTTCTTATCCTTCTTTACTTGACCATGGGGTTATTTAGGCTGCATGTCATTTGATAGCCATGCTGTGGTTACCTCCTGAAGAGGCATGCACCTCATGGAGAGCCACTCTGTCCCCCAATTCCTAGGTAAATGGTTTTGTTCATGAGCTGTAGGCTTTCAAACTTATCATTTTTGAACAGTAATGGGAATATTAGTAGCATATAGCACATACTGTTGACATGAGAAGAAACATTATCTTTGGTTTAACACATTGTCTGGATGGTAAAATGCCACAGTATCAATATTTCTGCAATAAAAATTGCAAAAAATCCATCAGTATGCTTGCCATTGTGCTAGATGATTTTATTGGAAGGACAGGGTGAGGGTGACTCATGGATAGAGAGTCTAGGTTTTCAGAAGCTCTATTTCTTAGACATAGGACACGGAGTCATTCTTGGTCTTCAGTCCAAAATGAGCAGGGAATAATTCTTATCATAGGAATCCAATTCCCACTCACTGTGCCCACCTCTTCTTTCTCCGGAGGTCTGTTCCTGGCTGGCTCCAGCCACCATCTCTCTTAACTATGCTTCATAATTGCCGTTCCCTCTTTATACACACATCAAGTGCCTTGCTCCTTTCCTTCTCACTTTTGTTTAATTATCACTTTAACAGGGAAGTTCTAACTAGATTACCTCATAGAAAACAGTAAGATCCTACCACTCAGTTTTATTTTGTCCAGACCAGATACACCTAGGTACTTTCAACAAGTTTGTTTTAAGCTTAATCAGAGCAGGAACTGAAAACTCCAGCACTGCCAACAGCACCCGGTGTATGTGTGTGTGTGTGTGTGCGTGTGCGTGCATGAGTGTGCATGTGTGTATGCAGTGTTTAGTAAGGATTTGTTGAACTGATAAGTAGGAAAAAGGGTCCTTTTAGGTGTAAGAATGGAAGTTTTTAAGGGGCTTCTTTGGAGAAGAGGTGCAGGGAAAATTAACATTTTTAGAGAGATAAGGGTAGAACAGGGATTCCAGGTAAAAGGTACATCCCTAGCCCAGCCA